CACAAGGAAAGAAAGAGATGAACACTGACTAAACTAAAGGGCTTTTTTAGGAAATCTGCTCAGTCACTATCAATTAAAATAATCATAACTACTCCCTTCTATTAAAAATAATGTTTATATGGTCCTTTTAGTAAGTCAGTTACAAAGTGCCTAGGTAGATGGATTTCTTACACATCCTACTTCTGGAATCAAGCAAAAGATAGACAAAGAGGGTAATTTCTAGTGAAGATAACAATATCTTAGAATAAGCATCCCTCTATCAGCAATGTGCTGCATTTATTATATAACAGAGTGCAGGAATCTAATGCAAGGGACAATCTTGTGGCTTATGTATAAATATAATTTAGGAAGCGGTCAGTATAATTTCAACCTCTTTGATATTTTAAATGTTAAAGTGGTACATTATAAGACCTGAGTAAACCAATGCTTCAAAAACACTGTGTGGTTTTATCAATATTTCCTGAACAGTGTCTTAGATATTAAAGAAAACCTTTCAAGAAAAAGTGTCAATAACTTCATAACAACCACCAAAATAAAGCCCATTTGTGTTCCATCATTTCTTTTAAATTGGCTAATTGTAAAAGTTACTATTCCTTTTTTGTTTTGTTTATAGATCACTAGTTCTGCTTCCTCTCTTATAGGTTTCTTTTAAGAACTCAGTTTGTACAAATGTCAATTACAGCATGAAAATAATTTTGGACTTTTCTACAAGTAAGAGATAGCTGAGTAAAGAAAGTGCTTGTGCAACCTAGCTATCTCAAGCAGAATGAAAAATTGAGGATAGTGAGCTTCTTCTCCTGAAAGGTAAGTGGTTCATAAAATACTGCCTTCTGTGTTTTCTTCTTTCCTGAACCCCTTTTCTTCCCCAAAAAGAAAAACACTTCTAGTTTTCCACAAAACTAAAATAAACTTCCAATTTGTCATAATGCTTAAAATATTAAATAATTAATTTCTAGTTAAAAGGTATTAATTTGTAGTTATAATTTTTCAAAATAGCAATCTAGTTCACTGTCACTCAAAGTAATCATTTCTGCCTTTGCTAAGGAATTGAAGACAACATATGAGTAAAATGTGCTGCCCAAAGACAAAATCAGGTTGAAGGTCTTTAAAGTATTTTTTGTCTTTCGAATCTAAATTTTAACCTAAAAGTCCTAAAAACAGTTACTTTCTTCCAGATACTAAACCTCTACCCACAAGTTTACTGCTCCCTAGAGCCCAATTTAGATTAACAGTTTGCATAAATAATTGAAATTTAAATAAAGGAAGGTATCCTAATAATATTCTAGACACAAATCTGGTCTGTAAGCCCTTGGGGCAGGGTCCTTCTGGGAGACTTTGCTCAGCGGTAATGAACTCACCACATAGTTCTCTAAACCTTCCCTTACTAATGGCTTATTTTGATTGTACTAGCCAAAAATGTGTCTAAACAGTCCTATGGCATTTATACTTTAACCTTTACAATTTCTTAGAGTAATAATGCTCTCTATATTTACTAGAATCACATGCTAAGAATTATTATAATTTCTTTTGTCTAGAAATGATCTTTTATCTTAAAACTAAAAAGAAAAATTCCTTGCTGCTTTTGATATTTGGCTGTAAAGTGTGTGTGTATCCATCCTACTCAATGGCCCTCATTATTTTATTTTATAGACTTTGAATCACCAGTAACAACTTGCAATGCTGGCTTATAACAGACAGAGTCAACTAAATAAGAAAAATAAAAATCCAATCTCAAGAGGCATGAAATAATAACATAGGTTACAGTTGCTACTCTGGAGTACGGAATACAGCGCTGTTATTCTGGGAAACTGCATCTAAGGAGTTTGGAACTTTATTAAGAAATCGTCAGGTATAAAAGTAATATTCAAATATGCCACACTTCTTTTTTGTTTCATATCATCAAAAAGTGTTCTGGTAAATTTGTAACTGGCTGAGATTTCAGTTCATTGGTGATATCCATGGACTAATAAATGTCTGACATTTTCTCTTTGTGTCCATTTCCCTTTCATGTCCCATAATCTCTCTCTCTCCCCCACCCCACCCCTTTCTCTCTGCTGTGTGTTTTGTTTTGTTTTGTTTTCTACATCTCTTATTTTGCTCCTTGTGTGCAAGAGAGAGAAAAAAAGAGTTAGACTGCTTCCTCTGTGTCTGTAGGGTGGTAGACATACTTGACAGACAAATCCCAAAATAGGAGAAGTAGGAAATTCCTCTTTTCAGTTTTCCGGGTGGATGCCTGACCGGCTGAGTGTCTATCCATGTGGCTGTGTATTATCTGGGCATCTCTCTATATGTATTTCTATGTTTGGCTGACTCTCACTATAAGATCTGACTTTTCATGAGAAGAAAATGATGTTGTATCAGAAAGAGCTTTTCTTGGGGTTCAGTAAAAAAGACAAGGCCAGCCTCTGTTTCTTCAATTGTTAAATAGATTGGGAGTGCTGGGTTCTATTCTTTCTCTTCCTACTAAAGCTCTGCCAACAGTTCACTTTCAATGTTGTTAAGTTAGTGAATAATGAAAGCTTCAAAGATCCATTTGTGAGAATCCTGAAGGGAATTTTCTATTTGTCTCAAGTAGACAAGTTCTCAGGATAAATTTTTCTATTTCTCTGCCAAATCATATAGAAATTACAACAACTGCGGGATATTCCCCCCGTGAATGTGTAGACCAATTTAATACCATAATTCTCAATTTCTGACGTTCTTCCTATAAAAGAGGTCCTGAGACTTTTCAGCATTTATCACACACACCTGCATATATACTCACTACAAATATCTAACACACTTCAAACAGTTCAGGGTCTTTGCGTAGTGGTATTCGAAGTTAGCCATAGGCAATTAGAGGTGGCATTTAAGTGCCAAAACAGATAAACTTTCATTTGCACTTGGTATTATCCAGGAAAGAAACATTTAACCAATGAAATGATTATGAACATGAAGTGTAAAAAAGATAAAATATTTATTAATTTGAGTGGTAGATATAAAATGGAGGCAACAGAAACAGACATTTCTAAGCCACCTATGGTAAATCTTTCATAGTATATCTACAATTTTTTAAAATTCAAAAACTATCTCATAGTTTCATAGTCTGTATAAGAAGCTTCAACCAAAGTTGCTATATTAGTAAAGTTTAGTCAAGGGATTCTCACGTTCTTTCTCTTTATAAAGCAGAGCAATCATAAGCCTGCAGATTTTATTTTTTAAGGCCTTCTCTGAAAAGTCCTCTCATACACCAAACTGCGTGGAGTTGAAATAACCCAAGAGGATGAGAAAGCTGAAATAAGACTTATATACTTAACTAATTCCAATAACCCACACATTTCCCCCAAACTGTTTGAAGAGTAATATCCCCTTGTATTATAGGCTTAGTATAATATTAATACAAGAAGGTAATGTATAAGTATAAAAATTGCCTACCATTATGAATTTATATAACTAAAAAATATTAGAGGTATTTAAAAGAATACTAGGCCAGACCCTATTAGCTATTTTTTCCAACCCAAATACAACACTACTGCTTTAGACTTGTATTGTTTCAGGCATTGGCCAAAATGAAGAAATAAAGTTTAAAACCTCAAATTAAAAACAAATAACAAGTCAGATATTTGGGGGAAATACTTTGAGACACTTAAATACAGTTAGTTTCAAAATCAGAGGAAATATTTGCAAGCCTAGTCTTAAAAGAGTTTCTAATCTAAGAATTGGTATAATCTAATCTACCATTTAGGGAAAGCATTATTCATTTAATTATTTGTTATCATTTCAGTGTGCCTCTGTCTTTCCGTGTGCCTCCAACCAGGCAGGGAGCCTCTTAAGAAGAGGGGATGTGTATTAATTATTTTTTTAATTCCAAGAAACCACAGAGTGTCTATGGTATAATGCACCCAAATACATATTGTTTCAATGAATGAATAAACAAGGCACTATGGAACTGCATAGAGTATTTCCATTGCTTTGTTCCAAGCTCTACTGTACTCCATATACAGAAGTGTCTTTCTCATTATTCTCCAAGCAAGAGATCTCAAAATAACAGCCTCTGAAGGAAAAACTTTAAAAGATACTCAACATATCTTACTTATGAAGTTTAAAATTATACAAAATAATTAAAAACAAGTAGAAAATGCAGATTTCAGTAAGATGCAAAGTTTACAAGGTCTTAAAATGTGGAAATATATAACCATTCCCATCCAGAATATCTTGTAGGAAATGAATGTATAAATGGATGGTATTTTAAAGACACATTAAGGCAAGAAAATATTAACATCAGTAGCAAGGTAGGATGGCATCTTTTTGATTTTTTTTTTCTAGTTGCATTAAAAGCACAATAGTTACTGCTTCACTTCTACGTTTCTCATGTTTAAGTTGAACGAAATATATAGACCAATGTACAGTGAAAAACATAGCAAGAAGAAACTTTAAACACCAATTTGTCCACAGTAATTGCCTTCCCATTTTTCAAGCACTGAACTCTTTTTTAGGTTCAACCTCAACTACTCTCCCCAGCACAAAGCACATTTCCCCATGCCCATGAGGCCAAAAGCCTTTCCAGAGATTTAAATCTTGTTAAGTAGCCACTTTCGCAGCCATTCCCAACTTGAGGGAAACCTTTCCACTGAGATTAACTCAGAATTTGGTCAGTCCCTGCTGCTCACTTTGGGGGGAAATGTGGGAGAAGGAAGAACAAGAAAGATAAAAGCAAAACTCAACTCTATGCTCCAGATGTACCTACACCCTATCCAACCCCTTTCTTTCCTCCAGTTCTGGGCTCTGGACAGGTGGGAGGGGGTGAGTCTGTCTAGTAGGAAGGGGATGCAACTAACTTTCCTCCACCATCTCATTGCCACCCCACCCCACCCCAAATCCAGCCCAACTGGTAACTGACACCACCAGGTAAGGCTGCTTGCATCCCCCTCCCCCCTTGGAAGAGGGATGGGATGGAGAGGATGGGGGGCGCGTGTGGGCGGGATGGAGGTAGGGGTGTTCCGAACTACAACTCTCCTTACCACTGGAGCGCCTGACGATGTTCTCCAAAAATGTGTTCTGCGGTGCCACCAGCCCTCTCTTGCCCCCCGGCATCCTGGGTCTGGAGAGCAGCGGCCAGGATCCGCGGCGGGGGAGGGGGGGATGCAGGAAGAGAAGGTGGAGGAAGAGGAGGAAAAGGTGGAAGAGAAGATTGAGCCGAAAGAAGAGGGGGCGCGGCGGCGGCGACGGGGTCCCCTGACTGTATCTCCAGCCCGACCCGGATGAGCAGCTCTGGGGAGGAGGACAAGGCAGTTCATGGTAGTAGCGCTCCCCCGGCCGCCGCTGCCCAGACTGTGGCGGTGCCGCACACGGGGCTCTGGAACTGCAGGCTCCGCGGGGCACAGTGCGCCTGCGCCGCCCCCGCTGTCGCTGTCCCGCCGGTGCTGATGCTGAGGCTGCTGCTGAGGCTGCTACCGCGGCGGCGGGCGCCTAGGCGGGGGCTCCGCATCTCTCCCCCTGCTGGGGAGCGCCAGAGCGAACTCAAGCCCACACTCTCCCAATCCCCCTCAGCTCAGGCCCAGAGCCCTTCCCCGCGCCTTCGTCTCCCGGTCTCCTCGCCCACCCCTCTCGCGCGGCGAGCTCCCGGCTGCCCAGCGCAGCCCAACTTCTGCTGGGCTGTGCGCCTGGTGGTTGCTCCTCTCCCCGGAGATCCAGGCAAGCGATCGCTGTCCAATCGGGCCGGTGGAATGGGAGAAGTGGGTGCCAGACAGAGCAGTGGCCAGTCGGAGGCTCACATCTCGGCGTCTCCCGCTCGGGTCCGGAATCCGGGCTGCTGGCGCGGACGCGGCTCCCGGGGCGGAGGTGCGGACGGGCTCCAGCTCCGGCCCAGGCTGAGAGCCGGGCAGGAACTGGCTGGGCGGCGCGCGGGGACACAGAGCAGCCACCTGACGCTGCTACCGCCCCCCTCCGGGCTCCAGCGCCCGAAACCTTCGTGAACACTGGCGCTTTCCGCACCGCCCTTACCCCACCCCCGGAGCGGGAGCGCCAGCTCTGAAGTCCGAGCGCACAGGCGGCGCCCGGAATGGCCCCTGCGACCCGCGCCGGGCTTGGCTTCTGGGGGAGCGTGCGGCCGCCCAGGGGAGTTTCCCCCAGGGCCGCTGAGTGCAGGAGGCGAGCCGCAAGCCCGCCACCGCTGCAAAGTTGCGGGAAAGGTCGCACTTGATGCGAAGAGTAGGGGAAGAGGGTGAATAATTCACACCCGAGAGAGAGGGAGTGAGGTGGGCAGCGTTAGCGATGGAAAAACGGTAAAGGCTGTGGGGGCAAAGATGGGCCAGGGTGGGGTAGGGCAGGAATCACCTCTAACAAACCCAACTCCCAGGCGTTGAGAACGGACAGGAGCGGCACCGTTACAAACAGTCCAAAAGCCAGAATGTGTCACAGAGAAGGGAAAATGACATAAATGCGAAAGGGGCGGAGAGAGATGGAAAGGAAAGAGGAGCCCACGCTGAGGCACCGTCCTTGATCTAAGGCAGTGGTTCTCAAAGTGGCCCGGACTGGCAGCATCCGCATCTGCACCACCTAAGAACTTGTTTAAAATGCAAATTACTGGATTCTACCCCAGAGTTAGGGAGCCAGGAACTCTGAGGATTGGGTTGACCCATTTGTTTTAACAAGCCCTCCAGGTAAATATGACACATGTAAGGCTTCCTGTCTTCTCTGGGGGCTGCACCTGGGCCTGTCGAGAAAGGACGATTGTGTAAACAGGGTCAAAGAGTGGGGGACCAAAAGTGCACTGCCGTGGCGTCAGCGGTTGATGGTGGAGCGAAGTCTTGAGTGTTGAAGGCGAAAAGATAGTTGGATGGGTGCGTCCCCTTTTGCTGGAGTCAGAATGTGCTAGAGGAGAGGTAATTGCGTTAAAATTATCAAGGTCAGATTACCAGAAGCAGGGAGAATCCCCAGGCAGGGGTGGAAGTACACATCTCAGCACCTGTCCCCTCTTGGAACCCCCTAGATTACTAATCACTGACCTCAAGACAGGATCTTTCTCTCTCTCTCTCTCTCTCTCCCCCTCTCTCTCTCCCTCCCTCCCTCCCTCCCTCCCTCCCCTGTTTCTCTCGTCTCTCCCCCTTCCCCTCTCTCTCCCCCCTCCCCGCTCTCTCCCACTCCCCTCTCTCTCTCCTCCCTCCCCTCTCTCTCCCCCTCCCCTCCCCCCCCTCTCCCCCCTCCCCTCTCTGCCCTCCCGTCTCTCTTCCCACATCTTTCTCTCTCCCAGTACCTCTCTCTCTCTCCCCCACCAACTCTCTCTCTCTCCCTTTCTCTCCTCTCCCCAACTGGGTAAGGGCTACTGCTTGTAGCCAAGACAGCTAAATGCAAAACCAGGATCCAGCCTTTACCTTGGGATCACTTTTTCCCTCTCTGAAATGTTCAGAGCCCAGGCAGCTGAGCAAACCCAGAAGGTTGACACGAGGCAATTTTATTCCGCTAAAAATCTTTATGCAAAAAAAAAAAAAATCAAGAGACTCGATGGAATAACACCAGGCTATTCTAGCTTTCCACAGGAAGTGCTGCTGGCCATGGAGCTTATCCCCTTGCAGTTAGAATGGCTTTTAAATACATCAGGTGTGTTTAGTTGAATAACAGGAGACTCAGGTGCAGACCCCATCCATAGTGAGCTTGCCACCACCGAAGCACTCAGAGATATGGCCAGGTTACAACTCCCTCCCTGCAGTTAGTGGAAAGAATTGAAACCACCATCACCACAGCAGCCTTAAACACATAATTGAATTTCTAGCAACTCTTTTGTGATCTGTGTTCAAATGATGCTAAACTAATCAGCCATTCATTGGCTGGGTTGGTGAATAGACAGGCTTATTTTTTAAACATATGTATAATTCATTGACTGATGCTCTAGACTTCTAGCATGCTATAATAATTCCATCATCATTAACAGAGAATATTTCAAATCTATATATTCTTTTGCACATCATCAGCTGCCCACATCTTGCGTATGGTTATTGATTTAAAATATCAGGTTCTCAGCATTTCCTATCTAGTATCCTATTCCTATCCTTTTTCCTAATCATTCCTCTGTGGGTGTATTAGCTCACATTTCCCAAAGAGGAAATTCTTTTGGACTCCATTAAGACACAATCACAAAATTACTGGTAGAACTTTCTTATTCGCATCTGCAGATTCGGTTAAAATGACATTTATCCTTTCTTCTTTGTTTTTAATAACTCCATAGCATTATGACGTTTGGATTATTTTAATGATCATAAAAAATGTAGTTGTGAAGTGTCGAAAGGTTACACACTTTTCTTAATCTTCTAGTTTAAGTTTTCATTTTATAAAGGAAGAAACCAAGACCCAGAGAGATGAAATATCCTGTCCCAGATGACACAGTGCTTTGGAACAGTCTGCACTGAGACTAGAATCAGGTCTCCTGACCCTGTAGCCAGAGCTCCTTGTAAATAATAGAAAATAACCTAATCTTAGGCTAGTGTGGTAACAACCAGCAACATCAAGGATCTCTATTGCCATCACTGATTTTGCAGCCCATAAGAGAAGAGAAACACTTCGCAACAACTTGCAACTTTTCCCAATCAAAATAGAGTCAAGGAAAATACAGTAGCAGCATCATATAGATTGACTGGCCCTAAGGAATGTGCTGGCCAATTGCCACAAGGTGCTAATACAGCATTTTAAAAGTGTGTTACAAACCGCAAGAATTAACAGATGAGAGAGACAGGAATTAGAAAGCTTCAATGTCACACAAAGAAAAAGCTTCATTTTGTTATATTGCCAAAACTCCATTTTAAAACATAATCATTTGTTCTTTTCTTCTGTCCCTCCAGATATGGTAATTAGACCTTGTCCGTGATAACCAAGAATTCCAGTCCCAGAAGTGTTCACTGACTCCTAAATCACAGCGGAATGGAAGCTGGCTGAGTGAACTGCAGGTATGTTCCAGTTAACCGAAACCAATATAAACATGAAGGCTTAGAAAACTGATGTAGGAAGTGATGATTTGGAATTATTACTGATTCACTGAAGGACTTTTTTTAAATCAAATACCCCTCCTCTGAAGATTTTCTAATATAATTTACTTGACAGTAGCTGTAATTATATGTAAATTTTCAAAAATACATTACAAATAGATTCAGTTGGACTTACTCTTTGATCCCTTATGTGCAAATGATCCAACCACTACTTTCTCGGGAAATTTTTCTCCTATTTCCTGCTTTCTGTTTCTGAGCAAACCCCAGCACAGCTCCAAGTTACAACCTGTATGTAGATGCTAAATGGGTGGCTCTGATGGAGGAATGGGAAGAAGGAAAAAAATAAAGGGGCAAAAGTGATTCCCTGTCATGGCCTCCAAGGTTGGCCTCCCTAGCAGCAGCATCACTCCATTCCATTTTTTCCTCCCCAAGCCTCACTGCATGCCTTTCCACAAAGCCCTCTTCCAGCTCTAGCAGTGAAGCATAAAAGCATTACTAAATTCCTCTGCGTGCACCAAACCCCACATTTACACCTATATCTTCTACCTTTCCTCCTGTCTGCTCCCTGCCCCACTCAGGATGGAAGTTGAGAGAAAGCAGACTAGAAAGACCTAGTGCTTGGACTGCGGACCCAGACTACCTAGAATTTAATCTTGCCTCTCCACTTACTAGCTATATGACCCAGGGCAGATTATTTAACCACAACTTCCCTTTCTATAAAATGGGGACAATAATTACCTATTTAATAGTGCTGCTATGGAGATTAAGTTAGTTCCTATTGGAAAGCAATGCAGGCAATATCTGACAGGTAATAAGCACTATGTAAGTATTTGAAAGTAAATACATGAGCCTTTTCCTCCCCCTCTACTTTCATTTACAGTGAAGGCTCTAGACAGTGGTCACTAATAAGGTTCACCAATATCCAGTTGCCTTTCCCTGCTCTTTGAAATTAGTGTGGCTATGCAACTAATGTTGGTCAATGAAATAGGAATGAAGGGAAAGGGTGTTGCTTCCAGGTGAGCATCTGAGTACTAGGACTTATTTTCTCATCCTCCTCTTCCCCTGCCTCAGTGACTAAGGAATGCCAAGAAGTACAAGGAGAATACCTGCCCAGAAGTGTTACCTAGACCTGCAGTAGACATTATATAAGCAGGAAGTAAACCTTTGTTGTGTTAAGACACTGACAATCCAGCACTGTGTGTTACTGTGCCATAACCTAGTCTATCTATGCTGGCTGGCACAGGTTATTAACTTGCTTTGGGAACAGGAGATAAGAGGAACAATAATTCTCCATCCTGACTGCACATTACAGTCACCCAGAGACTTTATAAGAATCCCAAAGCCACAGCCCAGACCAAGTAAATCAAAATTCCAAAGGATGAGACACAGGCATTACTATTTTTTTTAAGTTCCCCAGGTGATTTCTTTTTTCTTTTTTTCTTTTTTTTTTTTTTTTGAAATGGAGTCTTGTTCTCCCACCAGGCTGGAGTGCAGTGGCACAATCTTGGCTCACTGCAACCTCCACCTCTTGGGTTCAAGCAATTCTCCTGCCTCAGCCTCCTAAGTAGCTGGGACTACAGGCACGCACCAACACACCCA